GGGAGCTGCCGCTTGGTGCAGGCACTGCTCTGCCTCCAGTATCTGCTCGTCCCCTCCATCCCCAGCCTTTTATCATTATCTAAGCCATGACAAACCCATTATGATGCTAAAGATTGGAATTACTGTGATCCCAGGCAGATGCCCACAGAAACAGCAGTGTTTTGCACAAGGCAATAATAAATTACTGAAGGTCACCTATGATTTATCACTGCTTTGGATTGCAGACAGTGACACTGCTTCACCCAGTGAAGCAGCCTCATGGGTACCAGAGCATCTGCTCTGGTTGAGCCTCTAACAGCGCTGGTTTTGCTCATTGGGTTGGAAGCATCCCCTATAAGCGCGCTGTCTCCTTCTCTGAGTGATGCCTTTGCCATCCAACACTGAGCTCCCATCCCACAACTGCTCTGACAACTGGAAAAGCACCGTCTGCTTTGTGGATGCAAGATCCCAGCCTGCATCCCTCCATCCCAGGGCTGGCCTCTGATTCTGCCTCTCCAGGCCTATGAGAGCCCCGCACAGCAAGGGAAGGGTCAAGGGCACAGCCAAGCACTACTCAGAGCCAGTCCCCATTGGCAGCTGCAGCTTTAGAAGCAGGACAAATAATCACCAGCAACTTTTGGAAGTAAATAAATAGGTGGTGAGCTGAGCCACTTGAATGATGAACTGTCAGTTCAAGTGCTGAGACACCTTGGTCACTGCTAACAAGGATATCTGATGCCAATAAAGCTTGTTGCCTCTTGTGCTGCCGATATAAAAACATCCAATGTGTGCAGGAGCCCAACCCTCGAGCACAGGGAAATGACCTGAAAACCAAGCTCAGAGGCTGGAAACCCCCCCAAATACTGCAGGATGGGGTAACCACACACACGGAGTGGGGAAGGGACCAGGCTGGGGCACACCTGGGACACCCCAGCAGCAGTGGGATGCTCCGAGGACACTGAGGTATTAAGGAAAGCTCACTGTTGCTGTGCTGCAGGTGCAAGGGGTGGGTGACAGCGCATCAGTGACCTGTGTGCAGGTCTGAAGCATCCAAATGGCCCCACAGCGCTGCACTGCTGGAGCTTGGGATGCTCCGATGAGGAACGATGACACCGGAGGGCAGTGAAACCCCATAGAGGGCTTGCAGGAGGGCTCCTGCTGCAGCTGCCAGCGGGAAAGGCTGAAGTGGCACTTGTGCAAGTGCAGTTAATGCTGCTGGAGGCTTCTCACTGCCAAGGGAGCAGGGACAGGCTGCTCTTAGCCCTTCCACTGCCATCACCCACTTAAAGGGTGTCTGCCCAAGCAGGGCTACCCCAGGGTTTGAAACACACAGGTTGTGTCCAGTAGCCTCCCTCCAGCCCATCCTGCCCATGCCCCTCAGGGTGATGGGGACAGGCACAGGCAGCATCCCCATGTCTGGCTGGTGGCAGTGCCTGCGTTTCTAGAGACCCCTTTCATCCCATCAAAGGCTGCTCGATTTAATTCCCTGCTCTTGGGTATAAAGCCCGGGTCCCATCCGGAAAGCAATCTGTGTCTCCTGGAGCAGGCAGTCATAACATTTCCCATTAAAATGTAAATTTGGCCAAGTTTGTCTGGCATCTCTTTTCCTTCCTTAAGGTAAGGAGGATATGAACTCGCATTATTTTTTCCATCAATGTTATCTTCCTCTCCGTTTTGTGCTAAGTAAAAAAGCTGCCCAATATACACCTCCTGCAAATTAAATTTGAATTGATTCTGACAGCACAACAGGGATCCAGATTACAAAGAGATGTGCTCGCCTAATTGGAAGCATTTCCAAGAGGTTGCTCGCAGCAGCGTTAAGCACAGAAGGGTCGGTGCCAGGCGTGGTCCCTGCACCCAACGCTCACCTCAGCATCGTCCTCGTGGTGCTCCCGATGCCAGCAGCACTGCGCTGGTGGTGCTGCCTCTCAGGAAGGTGCTGGATGCGGAGCAAGAGGGAGATGGAGATGAGCTCTTAGGTAGAAGCTCTTCCCTGTGAGGGTGCTGAGGCGCTGGCACAGGGTGCCCAGAGAAGCTGTGGCTGCCCCATCCCTGGCAGTGCTCAAGGCCAGGTTGGACACAGGGGCTTGGAGCAAGCTGCTCCAGTGGAAGGGGTCCCTGTCCATGGCAGGGGTTGGAGCTGGAGGAGCTTTGAGTTCCCTTCAACCCAAACCAGCCTCCCCGACCCAGGCACTACAGAGCCCCTCCGGCTCCCATGGCCAGACAGGCACCAGTGATCCCTGTTCTACCATGGTCCCTATTCCACCACTTGCATCCCCAGCAAGGTGCTGTGCCCCCAGCACCACCAGCACAGACTTGGAGCAGGCAGAGGATTCCAGCCAGACCTGCTCGGCATCATCAAACCAATGGTTCTGCTCATGCTGCAGTTTTTAAAGATGCTCTTTCATGGTTAAACCCCCAGATCCCTGGAGACCCCCCCTCTTCTTGTGCCTGCAGACCCCTGGAGGCAGGGAAGTGCTGTCTGCACACCTCAGGAAGCTTGTCAGCATCTGAAGGGTATTTAAAGGATACAACCATACACCAAGAACAACCTGACTGTTACCTTCTGCTGGTCATCAATGCAGGGACCAGCCTGCCCATCCCAGGGCTCCCTGCCCAGAGCTGCTGCTGGCCACAGCTCATCAAAGTCACACTGGAGCAGAGCGGCTGCAGCATCAGTATGGGAGCACAGTGAATGGAGGACTGCCTCCTGCTGCACTTCCAGTGGGGATCGTTCCAGGTGCAATGGTTTCAATGCTATCGTTTCCAAGAGGAGACTCCCATTCCCCTGGCTAACCTGAGGTTAACTCAATGGGTTTCTCATCAGCTCAGCCCCCAGCAATGAGAGCTCCTGCAGAAGCCAGGCCTGCTTTGGGGTTGATCCCATACTCTCGCTTCTCTTGCAGAGCCACCCATGGGAGCTGCAGCACCCCCGGTACCCATTGGCCACCACAAGTTTGCCTCCCTTGAAGGGCTCCAAGAGATGCCCAGGTCTTGGGTGAGGTGGGGAGATGTGGTGCAGACAGGGACCCATCCCGTTCCCTCTCCATGGGCCAGGAAGGGCATGAATTGGCCATCAGGGACCTGGGGCACTCAAGCCATGAGACCCTGCTGCTCCCACAGGCTCAGTTCCCCCTTTGCCAGCCACCCTCATCACAACAAGCTGTGCCTAATGACAGCCTGCATCACGGAGTAACCAAGTAATTGCACTTGAGGGAGCTGCAGCCAGCCCACTTCCCAGCTGCTGGTGGGCAGAGTTAATGGAGAGCATCATCACAGGCACCGGGGAGAGCTGGCTCCTCAGTAACAATGAACAGCTTCATTGCACGGAGGGGGCTGATCCAGGGCTTTCCCTATCCCAGAGACCCCCTGGATCCGTGCGGAGCTGCAGGCTGGCCCCTAGGGCAGCTCATGGACAGCATGGGCAGCACCAGCTCCTGGAACCAGCACACGGCTCAGGCTGCAAGCAGAACCTCTGCCCCTCAGCAGCAGCCGTGAATGAGCAGCAGCGGGCACCACTCATTGTGCCCAGAACCATGTGCTGGTGACATTGAAGGGGAATAAAGGATCCAATTGGATCAAAATGTAATTAAATGAATTGTTAATTTAACAACCCCTCTGGAGCCATCCTCCCTGCAAGCACGAGCTGCTCATCGCTCCAGCACTCAGCCTCTGGCACCCCATGGCCACCCCATCCCTTGGGCACATCCCGACCTCGACCTGCTCTGCCCAAAGCTCTCTCCCTAGGGATTCACCCTGCTGCCATCTCCAAGGCTACATCACAGCCTCTTTGGTAAAGGGAGGGGATAAAAGCAATGTGCATGCACAGACCACATTCCCTTTAATCCCCTCAAAAATCCCACTCCCAGTAAACCTTCTTTAAGGAGCGGGATGAAGACGAGCAGCATCCAGGTGGAATCTCCTCCACATAAGGGAGCTGAGAGCGGATCTGACAAATGTGTCTGGAGTGACTCGGGAGATGCTGTCTGGGAAGCAGGTGCTCCAGATGGCCTCAAGGTCCCTTCTGTCGCTGCTTCTGCAGGCTAATTCCCTAAACCAGCATCGTGTGGAAAGGTGCCAGGCATCCCGCCAGCTCCGGAGCTGGAGGACAGGAGAAGAGGATCTGCATGCGCAGCGTGTAAAAGGAAGCTGGGTTTTGCTATAGGCCCCTATAATCTCCAGAGGTAAACTCCAAGGAGCATTCTAGAGCAGATTCCTCTTGAGACAGCGAAGCCCTGGCTCAGAGATGGGAGCGTGGGTGTTGGAGAGGCAGAAAAGCCCCAGCCAAGGACTGGTCCTCGCATGGATGCCCCTTCCCATGTGCTGCTCCACAGCCCTCTCCTGTTACACTCATTGCTGCAGCTATGAAATGCTCTCAGCACAACCACCTCTGCCATGGAACAACTGCACAAAGTACACATGGGTATGGAAAGCCACAAGCTTTTAGGCACCAGCTGCAGCAGGAACGGCGCTGTGGACACAGGGAAGCACTCAAGAGCCACCCATCAATAAGATCACAGTGAGAAGCAAGAGTTACCCAGCAAATGCTCAGCATCAGGCAGACCCCATCACCCATCCAAGGCTTCCCAACACAACACAATACAAACCCTGACAGCACTTTGGCCCAGTGGCTTCCACAGGGATGGGAAGGGTCGGGCACTCAGCAGCTTCACTCCTGATGCCAACACAGCCTGGTCTGCTCCTGCTCGTTGGAATCATCTCGATCAGTTCCAACTGGCTCCGTTAATGAGGTTCTAAAGAGGCATTTTTATGTGGAGGGCAAGCACTAATTAGAATGCAAGCCAAGTGGCTCCTGCTCGGAGCGCTCATGCCAATGTGATCTCCACAAGGGTCACCCTCATCCATGAATTGGCCGATGGAAGTGCTTCCAGCCCCACCACCAAGGCCTGGAAAGGCAGCTCCCCACTCCAGCAGGACCTGTTTGTCCCTTCAGCATGTCCAGGGCTGTATTTAACCACCACATCTCAGCAGACACAGTCTGCAGCATCCCAGGCACTCACCATGGCTGCTGCTCCCGATGCTGCATCCCTCGAGTGCTGCACGCACTCCTCCTGGCACAAAGTCACTCAGGATGGCAGCTTTGGAAACCACCAGGAACCCGAATGAGCAACAAAGCCTGGGTTTGCTCCATGCTGATGTGTTCCAGAGGTGCTGACGGTGCCCAAATGCTGATGCAAAGCCTGGTCATTTTGGCTGGTGCTGAGTACATCACACTGACAGCTACAGCGACCTGCAGCCACCCAGAAGCCAGAGGAAATAAAGGGATTTACAGTGCCTGCCTTTCCTGCATGGGAACAAGGCCAGCGGCCACTTCACCCGCTCTTGAGTGTGGCTCATCCTCTTGGTGCTGGTGGCACAAATAAAGCTGCTGCTCGCAGGGACACTGAGCACCAGCAGCATGGGATGAGCCAGAAGCAGAGACACGTCCTGGCTGGGAGGGCATCACTTTCACCTTCCAAATCCCCATGGGAAGGATGAGCTGCTGCAGCAGACCCCAGCAGCCAGGGCAGCAGCTCCTGGGAGGCCCCTGACCCAGCGTCCCTGTGCCTGTGGCAGCGCAGAGGTGAGGAGCACGCTGCACCCTGGTTATTGATGGGGCCAGATTAGCTTGTCTGAGCAGGGAAATACATCACTGGAAAAATAGGAAACATTTGGGAAGTGGATGGCGGGCGTGAGAGTGATGAATGAGTCCTGGAGGAGCCTGGTGAGGATCAATGAATAGCTGATGAGCTGAGGAACAAGACAGAGGGAGGCTCGCCATGCAGATCCAGAGAGGGAGCAGAATCGGCAGGGAAATTGCTCGCTATGATGAGACATTACTGCGAGTCCCCAAGCAGCCTTTACATCAGGTGCAGGGGAAGCCAGGCATCGGGGCAGCTGGTTCTGGCTCGCCCTCAGCATCAGGCTGGGGAGAGCAGAGCACCCAGTCTGTCTGCATGGCTCCAGGATGGACCCCCCCATCCCCATCAAGTGATACCTCCATCCTGCAGGGTACATGGCAAGAGCAAAGGCTCAGAGAAGGGAAAGCACCCAGAGACCCCTCACACACAGGCTTTGCAGGTGACAGTAACTCACCCAGCCTGGTGCTTCTGGCCTTTTACAGCAGAAGCTCCAGAGACAGGCAGTTTCTGTGAAGACATCATTTTGGGGGTCAGCTCCGTGTGCATTACAGTCCATTAGAAGCAACTGGGACAGCTGCTCACGAGCAATAGATCCATAACCACTGCATGGCACTGGGGAAAATCAGCCCTGTGTGGGCTTGGCCAGGACCAGGCATGGGCAGGAGTGGCACCAGGTCCTGTTCCCCTGCCTGCAGCAGGAAGCTCAGCACACAAACCACCCTCTGCACCACAGCAAGACCATGTTAGCGCAGCCCCAGCCCAGCACTCACTTACTAATGCCTTTAAGGAGCCATAGAGCCGGTGCAGTGCTGGCTCCAAGGCTCCCTGCAGTGGCCGGAGCTCGCTCTAGTGGTGGCAGACACGGCTCCCACTCCCGTGGCCGGGCCACCCTGGAAGCAAAAGGCTGGGTCCTGCTCAGCTCCCAGAACAAACCTGTACGGATGGAGGCATCAGGGGATGCAGTTGTTCAGGACCAGCATCATCTCCAGCGATGCAGCAGTGAGAAGGGTCCTGGTGCGGTGGTTTCTGGAACTCCTTGGGCCTTCTGCACAACAGGGCAGTTGAGTCAGGCGAGCTCAGGGATGGGACTCCAGTAAAAGCTCATCCTTGCCATGCTGCTGAGCACACATCACACTGGGAGCAGGGAGACCCAGCCTGAGCCATGCAACCAGTTCACCCGGTTAGACCTGGCTGTTGGACCTGAAGAGCCGGACTCTCTCACACTCACTGCGTCCAAATCATTGTTATTTGGATGGTTCCACCCTGCCTTCAAGCTCCTTCATTTGCCAGCTCATAAATTCTCACAGACAGCTTCTAGAGGCCCTGAACTGGCAGAACAGCGACAGCAAATTCACTGGGCTGTGGATTTCTGGGCAGTGCCCTTGTCCTTGACACTAGATAGGGAAAGAGAAAGCAACTCCCACCTCCCTGGAGCACCCATCCTCAGCAGCCTGACCCCTGCAAGCAGCCCCAAGGAAGCTCTTTGAAAAGAAAATGACAGCAGCTGCTTGTGGGATGATGGGCTCAACAGAGCCATTTAAAACTGCCCATCAAAGCAGTGCCATTGAGCCTCACCACATCCTTCCCTGCAGGTGGTTCCTGAGACAACACCTGAATCCTGGGCCAACCTTCTCATGTCAAGATGCCCTCTCTGCAGCACCATTTATGATGCTGTATTCATAGTGCTGCTGGTGGTGGAGGGACACAAGCATGATGTCCTCTCCACAGGATACAATGGTATGTACATGTAACTGCATCCAATGGTTTCTCTTTTGGCTCATGCCACCAGCACTGGAAAGCAAATGAAGACTTTCTGTGCCTCCAACAACCTGATGTTCATCCCCAGGGTCATGGGATGCCTCTGGAACAGCCACAACACTCAAAGCAGAGCCAGTGGGAAGTACTATGAAAGCTCTGCAGGCTGCTCTCAGGGTCAGGCCAGGGATCACCTCCTTCACAGAACAGAGTTACTGTTCTCACTGAGCACCTGAAAGCGATGGACAACAATGTCCAAAAAGAAGCATTTATAAGAAAATCATCCAAGTTGTTTCAAATTAACAGTAGCTCCATTAAGTTTACTTTTCAATGAAGGATAAATACCAACAGACACTTCCATCCATTCCCTATTTACTCCCCAGCTTAGCATTGTTTCCAGAACAAAATCAAGAGAGGGAAGTCCACATCTAAAAAACAAAGACCAGCACAATAGCTTGTTTCATTCTTGGTATTAGGAGGAAGCCAGGTCCTTCTGAGCCCTTCTCTAGACAAGGACCATTGGAATACATTAGTTTTCAAAAGCATTTATAGCTTCATCTCAGTAGCAGGTTTTGATTACATTTAGAACAGAAAGAAACAGCCAGAGAACACCAGGGCTATAACATTGTGAAAGCTCAAAACCATCTTTTCCATGTTTGCTTTTCTCTCAGTGCAGATGCAATAAACCAAGACATGGAATAAGTGGTTAAGAGGAGGGTGGACCACACACACCCCCCCATCCTGAGAACAGTCTAATGTGCAAATAGTTGTATTTCAAAGGTTTAACCATGTTACCAAAACAGACAGGTATTTGGGAATGATACAGCAGCACAAGGAGGTCAGCACTCGTGTTTGGGTTGGTTTCTGAGACTACAGCATACGTATGAAGACAATCCAAGGGCTGGAGCACTCTGCTATGGAGACAGGCTGAGAGCTGGGCTTGCTTAGCCTGGAGAAGAGAAGGCTCTGGGGAGAACTTGTAAAAGTCTTCCAACATCTACAAGAGGCCTACAAGAAATATAGAGGGGCTTTGGTCAAGGGCCTGTAGGGACAGGGCAGAGGGAATGGCTTGAACCTGCCCGAGGGGAGACTGAGCTGAGCTCTTAGGCAGAAGCTCTTCCCTGTGAGGGTGCTGAGGCGCTGGCACAGGGTGCCCAGAGAAGCTGTGGCTGCCCCATCCCTGGCAGTGTTCAAGGCCAGGTTGGACACAGGGGCTTGGAGCAAGCTGCTCCAGTGGAAGGGGTCCCTGCCCGTGGCAGGGGTTGGAGCTGGAGGAGCTTTAAGGCCTCTTCCAACCCAAACCAGGCTGGGATTCTGATACTAATTAACAGATACCCACCAACTACTGCTCCAGTTTTCTATCTTTACTTTATTAACCCTGACAGAACCCATCGACCTTATTAAACAAGGCCATGATTGCCCACTTCCTGAATGCACAGGCACACAGTGCCCAGCCTCACCAGCTCCTCCGAGTCTGAAGTCTTAAGATGATTCTGGTACCAAGCCATACTTCTGCATCAGGATCTCAACCGTAGGTGTCAGCGCACTGTGGGGTAAAAGAGAACCATCAGAAAACAGGTTTTTTAAGGGCCAGGCTGCATTTTGTGGGGAGGGAAAGCAATCAGCCAGATGCAGAAGTGCATTTTGAATCAGGGAGAACATGAATTCCAGAAACCAGAGTGTTTCACTAGAAGCTTCTAGACAGGGTTGTCCTATACTGGGAATTTGGAGCACTCTTTTAGGATTGCTGAGTGGGCTGGTCATTAACCTAAGCAGTGCTAATGTGAAGGTTCATCTGCTACGGGAAAAGAAGCAAACCAGGACCCACTCTAAGTCGAAAGCTTCATTCTGTTTCAAGTGAAGCAGCAGCTCAGATACATGCAGCACAAGGAGCTCACCAGCCAGGCCGAATGATGCTGAACTTCCCTGACACAGACAAATCAACCACAGTTGACCCCAAGCGACACTCCGGGCTCTGAACGTCCCCAATTGGGCCTCCATCGATGATTAAGGACAACTGAGGCCACAGGTCTTGGAATTCCTGAGAGGAAGATAAAAGAGGTGTGGCAAACAGGCCTGAGGGTGGTTTGTGATCTTGTTTTCACTGCTGGACATTCTGGTGTTGAGGGAAATGGTCTCCCCCCTTGCCCCCTCTGGTCAGCTCACGTCTTTGTCATGAACACATCCCAGCTTGATTTCTGAGAACAGATTTATCTCAGCTGTGTAGGGAAGCCAGGAGGATTCTCAGGTTGAAGCCTTCTGAACTGCACCACTGTCTAAGAGTGCACAAAGCAAGCCAGAAGTCTGTCAGGACACTTAGGGCAAGGACAGGGCACCCGCCTGGTGCTGTACCATCACCAGGGTCACAAGCTTTGCACAAGCTGGTTTCCAACTGTGGGAGCCCGGGGCTCTGACAAACTACCACAGAAACACCCCTTAAGTGACAAAACCAACCTTACCGACACCGTCAGCGTGCTGGCCTGAGAGCTGATGTTAGCACTTGTTAGAGCCAGTGGTCCAGAGCAAGCTCGTGCCAACTCCCTGATAAAGGGGTGGTTTGGAATACGAACACCAACCAGCTAGGAGGAAGAAGAGAACATGGTTTCACACGCAGGAACAGGTTTTAATCTTGTGCTGCCTAACGCCCTCTTGACAGAGCTGATGCTCTGGAGAATGACACATCAACAAGCACTGAACCAGCAATGATATAAGATGTAAATCTGCTCCTAACACTGCCGTGTTCAGTAAATCATAGGGAGCACAACAGCACAGGGACCAGCTTTGGGAAAACACCCATCACTGATAAGTATAGTGAACAGACACGTAAGAGTAAAAACTAGTGCAGCAGAAGCACAGAACCCCATCCCTCGAAAGCAGCTCCACCTCCTGCAGCCAGGCCCTACCGATGTGAAGGGATTCAAGTCTTTATTTAGCTCTTCCGAACGCTGTAAGACCAGGGTCACAGGTCCAGGCAGCAGGTCCCGCAGCAGCTCGTCCGGCACGTTGACACGGCAGTACCTGCACAGCGAGAGGATGCGGCCTCACCCCGGGGCGGAGCAGGGTTAGGGTTAGGGTTAGGCTCGGGCCCGCATGCCAGCACCGTCCCAGGGCTCCGGAGCCGAGCGGAGCTGCTCACCCACCTGTAGAGGCGCTCCACGTCCCCGAGGCAGATGGCGAGCGGCTTCCTCCCGTTCCGCCCCTTCAGGCTGTAGATGCTCCGCACGGCGCCGGAGTCCTGCGCCAGGCACGCCACGCCGTACACCGTGTCCGTCGGCACCGCCACCAGCCCGCCCGCCCGCAGCGCACCGGCGGCGGCCGACACCGCCTCCCTCCAGCCTGCGCGACACCAAGGGGGGGGGTCAGCGGTGCCCGGCCCGGCCCTCCCGGTCCCCGCCGCGCCACCGCCCCCCCCGGGCCGTACCTCCCTGCTGGGGCTGTGCCGCTCCGCCGGCCGGCAGGAGCAGGCGAGCGCTGCGGGCGCAGCCCAGGCCCAGGGCCGGCTCCGGCCCCGCCGCTCCGTCCCCGGCCAGCGCCAGCGCGATCCGCGCCGCCCGCCGCATGCACGGCTCACTTCCGGCTCGCAGAGGGAAGCGCGCTGACGCACATCCGGGCACGTACCGGGGCGGGCCGTTCCCATGGCGACGCGGGACGGGCGGCAGGACGCGGTGAGGGAGCGCGGCGGGAGGGCCCGGGGCGGGGGGGGGGGGAGCGAAGGGCGGCCCCGGGCACCGCCAGTGACCGCTGTGTCTGCCGCAGGTGCAGCTGTGGGGCCTGCTGGAAGCCCGGCAGCGGCGCCTGCGGGCCCGGATCGCCGCCTGCGAGGAGCTCACGGCGGAGATGGGCGCGCTCCTGGCCGCGCTCCGGGCACCCCTCGGCCCGGGGAGCGCTCCCCCTGCCCTGCTCCGATCGCTGCCGCGCCAAGCGCAGGGCCCGGGGCCGGCTGGAGGAGCCTGCCCGCCTGCCCCTCCCGTGGTGCCGGGAGCGCTGGAGCGGTAGCGAGGAGCCGCGGCAGGCGCTTCCCCCAGCTGTGGCCTTGATGCTCCTTGGAGCCTTATCTCACTGAACTCACCCTTCAGAGCAAAGCGGGATGGCTCGGTCTGTAGCTCGTGCATCCACCCAGGGCTGCCGCTTACTGGAGGAACTGTGGCCTTGAACAGATGGCACCGGTTTGTCCAAGCATCGACGCTTCCCTTGACTGTTCACAGGATCGGCGCTCGGGAATGATCCACTCCACTGTGGGGAGGCTGGAGAGGAACAAACGCTCTGTGTTGTGGGCAGAGACTTGGTCCTGACACTCCCTACAATCCCAAAGTCAGAGATGCATCATCCAAGACATGCACAAGTTACAGGGGGGCCAACTCCGTCTGTTTTCCTTATTGATGCTATCTTCCCCCAATACTCCTCCTTGGTAGGGAGCACTTGGTACCTAAAACTGTCAGAGCTGGAATGCTGAATCTCTCATGTTAACCAAAGGAAGAGTTACCTTTCTCCCTGCCCCTACAGTGTAGGCTGGTTCCTGCCACAGCTCATGGCACCTGCTTGGGTGTTTGCATGAAGGGGACCAAGCAAGGCTCTCCCCTCTATACAAATGAAGAGCAATTTTAAGATTAACAACTTCTGCTCCAACTCCTGAGGGTATGGCACTGCAGGTGGGGAGGAAATACCTTCACATCCTGACCAGTTCCTAAGGGGGCAGGGGAAGGATCCTCATGCATCTCCCCAGGAACTCATAAATACTCTTAGGAAAGACTATTATAACACAATGTTTAAATAAGCATTTAATTAGGATTCCATTAGTATTAATATTGCTTTCAATTCCAAAAAAGTTAATTTCCACTTCTTTGCAGATATTTCAAAGTACAATATTAACTTCATACAAAATGAGCAATTAAGCAAACACCATTATTTCACATTTTACATTCTTCAAAAAATACAAATTCATATTTACTCTTTGTTTGGGGGTTTTGGAGATGCTCTTCCTTTGGAAGTACTGTACCTGTAACTAACATCTTCACATTGCTCAATGTAAGCACATTTATTTTTTTTTTCCCCATGTTTCATAGTTAAATAAAATCCTTTAATACCCATACACACACTCTTGGAAAACTGGGGTTCTTTTATTTTGCCATCTCCAAGCCCACTGCCCAGCTCCCCAGGCGGGTTAACCCAGAAGCAGTTAGCAGACAACCTGTGGTTCTCCTACAATTCCTGGGCTTCCTAATGATGCCAATGCCGACTATGACTTGGGTAACGAACCAGGCTCGAGGTTTGCTCATCCCTTCCCACCACACCGCTCCATGTGAAACCCAACTGCAACTACAACTCCACAGCAAGGGCCAGACAGATCGCTCCGGTTCAGTAAGCAAGTGGAAGGACACAAAGCTACACAGCAAGAAACACCAGCTACTGTAACTACGGTACTGCAAAAAACAGACCCTGGATTTTGCTGAAAAAAGATCATATGAAAAAAATCTCCTGGTTTTAAGAAAAAAGTAGGAACTGCATTTAGTTTGAGAAAGTGTACACTGCATAATGAACCAAATTTTGGCCAGCTTGCACACCACCAAAAGCATGGTGTGGGATTTTTAAACTAGTTCCAAGAACACACACACTTCGACTATGTACACGACTACATAAATATCCAGTTTCATTTGCATTTCTCAGTGCAGACACAGAACCCGACTTTTAGAACAGAGGAAATACACCAAGACGAGACGCAAAAAAGTTAAAAGTTCAGCCCTGTCCATTGAGTATCAACTCCAGGTAACGCTTATAAAAACCTTGACATTGGTTCCAAAATATGCCACGGAAAAAACAGTGTACAATTAAAACCTATGCCATTGGAAATCTGCAGGGTTTATTAAACACGTGCTTTGCTTCTTGTTTTTGCCTTACAATCCCGACGGACTCTGCCCAGCTAGCTCAGGTCACTAACACCTAGGACTGTGCACTCAAAGCGTTTCACAGAGACAAGTGGCACTGTCCTTGCTGCACAAGGAAGAGGCTGAGGCACGGGGCCGTTACATGGCTTGCCCGAGGCCCTGCAGCCAGCCACTGGTGACACCATGACCCTGTCTGCTCAACATCACAGACCTGGCTGCCTCTTGTGTCAGTTGTCAGCCGTGCTCCCCCCAAACCAGGAACAGCTCTGCATCCCCCATCAACTCCAAGGGCAGCTACACTTTAACTGATCTCTCCCAGCAGTTCCACAGCCAACAGGCCAGTTTTAGTGCCTTCTCCAAGCCTTATTCCCAACTAGTGCAGGAAGAGTACTGTAAACAGTTTAACAACGTTGCTGCAGTTGCAAAAACAATACCCTGGATGGCTGCAGAGGCACCATCCTCCATGAAGTAAGGCAGATAACACGACATCAAAACAATCCTGACGACTTTAAAGGTGCAACATGCCCATTTCAGAACAGCTTGTCACTTCTGCTCACCCTCACGTGGCAGAAGGGAGCGGAGGACGTGGGAAGGAGGGTGTACACCAAGGAGCTCGGCTGTGTCCAACAGAAGTGACAAGCAGCCCACCAGAAAGCATGAGAGAAAAGGCCTGCTACAGCACAGTGCTCTCAGTGGAGTATTTGCATAGATTGGACATTTGCTAATGATGCATAATTTAGTTCGGGTACAGACAGGGAAGGACAAGTACATCACCGAGCCCATTACTACACACTCAGACAGACACAGACAGACCGACCACATGGGACAATGATCTTTAGCTACAAGTATTGCACCAAGTTAAGTGCTCTTCTTTGCACACCCCTGTTAACTTTTACTCAGAGCAAAAATAAACTTTGTGAAAGTATATATACAAAAGAAATTGCAGCAATTGGGTTAAGGATAAAATAACCTAAAGTGCATTTTAGATACCAGTATGAGGTTCTGTGAGCTAGTCTTTCTGGACACAGTCAGCATTATACAAGTGCCCAATTCGTACTTTTGTTCTATATAATTCAGTACCAGCATTTAAACGGTGCTGATTTTCCATCCCTCTACCATCTACAACCATGAAAAACAACTTCTACAGCCTTCAACTGTATGCCAAGTCTGCTTCCCTGGGTCACTGCTTGGTGACTAGAGCGACCGATGTTGGCAATTAGACCCATTTGGTATATTTAAGCTCCTGCACTCATCCAGAAACTGTACAGAACCAAGAAAATCCCCAAAAGCCACAAAACAGCCAAACATTTAACACAGAAGGACCCCGAACAGTGCAGCTTTGCTCTCTGACTGGTAAGTGAAGGGGGTTGTGAAAGGTGGATTTTGCAGAGGGAGGACACGCTGTTCTCAGAGGCTCCAGCGTATTGACAGAACATGTCCCATCCTGGGAACCCAGTGTCTTACCAGATCTACAGCAGCAGAAACTCTCCCCCTTCCTTTAACAACGTTATTGTGAATATGCTACATGCTGGGGCAACAAGAGGAAGACATTTCTGGCATCAAGGAGTCTCAGGGCGACTGCCCCCTCTTGTCAGCCACTCACATTCTCCTCCCTTTGAAGCACATTAACCACCACCCCAGCAGTACAAGGCCTGAGGATGCAAATGTCCACTGTAAAATACATCAGCTACATGCAGCATGGGACACTCTGGAAAGCAGACCAAAGAAGCAACAAAAGCACACATCTGTACAACGCAATCAGCTGGGATGTATAGACCGCGGCGCAGTGGCCCATGTAGTCACAGAATCATCACACTGCTCTCGCTGCATTACAACATCTAATTAGTTTCACCTAAATTGCAGCCTGTCTGATGCATGTACAAGAGGGTAACGGCACAACCAGTGCACCTAAAAGCCAGCATGAACTTGGAACACATTGCTTTTCCTAGAACACAACAAGAGAAAACAGTAGGTGTGAAGAGAAAACAGCAGAGAGGTTAACTGCTGATACCCACCCAGAGAGGATGGCAGCAGCAAGGTGCTGCATGCAATCACACTTCCAAATAAGCTTCTGATTTCAAAGCCTTTGGTAGATTCTTTTACTCACTTCTGCCACAAAGCAGTTTCTGAAGTTATTGGGCCCAATGGAAAGGTTGTCGAGGTGAACTAAGTCACGAGCAGCAAAAGCAGCACAGAAAAATACCTTCCTGAAGGACAGAAAGGCTCAGAAAATGCTAAATCCAGGCCACATCTGGTACCCTTGTACCCATCACCCCACAACTCCAGGGGAACCTGCATGATCCTGTGTTAGTGGAATTTCTCACACACATATCCACTCACCCTCAAACACAAAAGGCCCCCTGCAGTGGCCTGTGCCCCACAGAGACATCCCACACAGCTCCAGGCACCACTCACACTCCTCCAAAGCAGAGCTCTGCACTGGTGGAGATTCTCTCTGTGAGGACAGCTGAGCCACAGAGGCTTGAGACTGTTTATTTTGTGTTCTGAACAGTTCTTGCTGCCATGCAACCAAACTGCATCACAAAACTAAGATGTAGGAGGAAAAAAAAACCCAAGGACCACTGTCTCACTACCCTCTAGGGATTACCATTACAAGAACCAAACCTAGAACACTCTTAAATCCGCACTTCATGGATGCAGACCTTATTGCTGCAGGACCCACATCCCCACTGCAACACACACCAACACAGAGAGGAAACAATCAGCATGCTACAGTTCCACTGGTGGCCTCAAGCTCATCACTGCAGTTACCAAAAGGGAGCACCTTGCCCTAGCACAGTAAGATGACACTATCCAGGCACAAAGCCTCTCCTCCCTCACATTCACCCTAAGGGGATGTAGTGTCACCCTTCTGCATTTCACAACCGGGAGTTGTCAGAGGTGAAAAGCCAATTCCATCCATGCTGCTGCAGCACGTTCACTAAGGCTACACAAAGCACATCACCAGAGGGTCAAAAAACCTGCTCATCATCCCACACCCTGGGGAGGACTGGCTGCAGCCAGAGGGTTCTCCCCCCCAGCAGTTACAGAGAGCAGCTTTGATCAAGTACAAAGGGTGAGAGACCTCTATCCACCGGGATTTCGCATTCCTAAATTTAGTGTGCACAGACACTCCATGTTAAGTGGCTTACAGTCATTATCTTTGTATCTCACTAATGACAACACTGTAAACTGAATAAAGACTATTTAATATTCTTTCCTTTAACACAAAAACGACTGACAGCCAAAGCCAGAAAGATGGATAAAACACTATAAAATTACGTCTTTTAAAATAATGCAGCATAAATAAACCATTTAGAATGAGACTGCATTTATTGCAACATTACAGGCTTTTTGGTGGAAGGGGGGGTTTGTGGTTTATTTACCCTGAGTAGGTTAGAATATAGACTTTCAGTTTGATATGAAAAACTACTACGTCGTGTAACTTCTTTTAGTCAAGAAATAGCCCCGTGCACAAAAAGCTGGCATTGCAGTAGGTTGGAGGCAGATTCAGGCAGGAATCATAGAGCTCAACAGAAAACAAGGGAAGCATTTGTGGACAGCTGAAGGATAGACCCACTGAATTCAAACTGAATTTCGGCTGAATCATTCTGAAGAGTTGCTCTTGACAAAAGCTGAGAGTAACCAGCAAAGGCACCATGCTCCTGATTAAACAGTCACGGGGATTAAGAGGATGACTTGGTTCTGAGCCAAAGAAATCAAAAGAGCAGCAGGCACCAACCTGACTACACCTGGGACTCATTGCATCCTTCAAAGAGAGGCAAAGGAAACAGACTCTTGAGTCTGAGTAAGCAGGGGTTCCAATTGCGTTTCCATCTTGTGAAACAGTGTCTGCCACCACCCTTTGAAGCCCTAATGCAATTAAACGAACAGATCCATCAGGAGCACAAAGTACTTGTGCTCTTCTGAAATAAACTCCCCAAAAGTTTCTGTAGGCTTTAGTAACAGCGTTAGTACAAAGCTCCCAACTCAGTGGTGCGACAATCACATTCCAGTAAGATTGCAGATAAATCATCTTCTACAGTAATGCCATTTTCTACTACAGCAAATTCCTTTCCTAGGCTCCCCTTATAGTGCATGGTTAGTATTAGACAAAAGAGACAGAAGAAAAATCATAGACCCAAGGAGTTGTAACAAAGACCCACTTGCTGCCAGTACCTTAAACCCAAACATAAGCGATGTGCAATTGGAGACAAACTAAACCCCCCCTTTTCTTTTTAGAATCTTTTTGCACATGAGTAACCTTAACTTCTGTGTTCACATATGACAAGCAAAAGTGACAGACAGTGCAGCCAAAACAGTTCATATATAACTTAGCTTTTTCTTTTTTTCTTAGTTTTACCTTTTTTTTTTAGATAGATTCTCAAAGATGGATGTACCTGGGACGTGACTAAGATGACATCTGTGAAGCAGAAATAAGCCACAAAACTTCCACAGAGGGAGGAAAAAGAATCGATCCTTCAGTTTCTGCTTCTAAAGGAGAGGGTTTTACCCTCCAGGTGCAAAGGAAAATCTGGAACATCTTCACTTAGAGAAGCTGTTATTCAAACCCATTTCTTCCTCACCCTGCAGTAGTGCTTCGATTGGAATTATATCAGATGGGGTTTCAGGGCTTTGGAGGGACAGGAAGTCCGATACATCCATGGCACTTAATGTTTCAGTCTGTGAGTCTGGAGGGTTAACTATCTGACTGCTCTGCCCACATGAAGGAGAAGAGGAAGAAAAGGTCTGAGGCTGCAGCTGGGGAGCTGGCTGCTCCAAAGCTTTTGAATCAGGTGAGGAACATTCCTTTTTAACAGTGGCTTTGTCCTTGGCAGAGTCTCGGCAGGCACACTGACACTGGCAGGCCTCCTCCTGCTTTATAATAATGACAGGAACACTGAGACCAATCTGCTGAACAGGGTTTCCTGAAGGTGAAACAGAGGCAAAACACAATGGAACTACATCATTTCACAGCAGGGAGAGACAAATCCTTTGTTAAATTAGACTGTATGCACCTTGCAGCAGAGATCACAGCTCACTTTCTCCAAGCACAAGGAATAACTCTAGCAGATGGGAAGTAAGAAAACTGTGGCAAGAACTCTCTGTTGATGAGCAACCTGTTCAGGTTGAATCCAGGCTCAGCACACTATGCCTCTTCTCTGACAAGCGTTAGGCCTTCTACAGCATCAAATCTAATACAGAGTGGCATTCAGATACCCCAGTCCCTAGTACCAATCTTTGAAGATGATGATGATACAACATAACACCAGCGATTCAACTCCTTGCCACCAACACAAGTGTCTTCCTGTCTGTTTTCTCTACTCTGCTCTCCTTTCCCAACTTGTTTCTCATGTTTCCTCCTCACTCTTCCTATGCTGCTCTATCTGCTTGGCTTCCTTTCTTAAAGATTAACAGTTTAAACTTACCTGATCTCTCTTGACTCTGATTCATCTTTGCAATATAATAACACAGTGTAAGAACAGAACTTCTACAGTTGTTTCATTTTGATGAATCTCATGCATAATACTCACTAAAAACAATTGCTAAAGAACTGATGAAGTTTACTATTTATTACCTGTTCCATGTCTTCACTCAAAAGAACAAAAAGATTATGTCCTTGCATTTCTGTCTTTTCCTCCATACACGTTCCATTAAAATACTACTTTTATGAACACTGGATCTAATTTATGATCTAATTCACAAGTTGTCACAGAAATTACTATGGGAGAGATCTCAGCACAAGCCTCTGAGTGCATGGAAAACCTCAGAAAGGTAGAAATATGAAAGGATTTTCTTCAACGTTTCTAGAAGCAATAAATGCACCACAAATGCTGGTGAAGCCAACAATACCACAAAGAAACAAAGAAAAAGAGAAGTAAGTTCAGTGTCCAGCTTACCTGTGTTGCCAGCTACTGGTAATGCAGTGGTAAAAAACACCTTTTCTACTACTTTTGGAACTTGTGGCTTTAAAGAAAAGGGAAAAAGAAGAAAGTGTGAGTTGATTCCAATTCTGTTGTTCAAATTCTAAGCAGCTTCAAGCAAAAGAAACAGCTATGAACATATTCCAAAGAGAACACACAAGAAACTAATCATAAATTGTAATATTCAGCTTGGTTCTGTGCTATGTTCTGGCTATCCCAAAACTCAGAGTGTTATTTCAGAGGTCCTAAAGGTGGGAAGCAATGACTCCCCACACCACATGCTTGTTAACATAGCTTGTGGGTTCTGACAACTGAATTCAACAACTACTGCGCTTGCTCATCCTGCTTGTACCCACAGCCATTGACACTTGACCATGTGCAGCTAAGAAGGCCCACAAACAGCAACAGTATTCTGCAAGATAGAACACTTTCAGTCTCAGCTACCCAGATTTAGTGAGGAACCAGAACCATTCTGCTTTCCCAGAAAACTTCAGTATCTTTATCAAGCTACATCAAGAAAAGACGTATTACAAAATGCCTAGACACAAACTTCAGAGTCTTTTGTGCTTCTGCTTGTCAAAAGTAGATTTAAATCCACAAACATTTTCAGGCCGTGTGGCACTCTGTCTGACACCAAACTGATAACTGCTGTGCCAAGTCTGTCACTGGGGAAGAGATTAAAGATCTCAATCTATTTTCTATTCCCTTATCTCTTTTAGGAGCTGCAGTGGGGGCATGTTTATATATATTAACATGATAAGCATTATACAACACTGCATCCTGGTTTCTTACAGTTATCTTACAGTTACAGGTTTGATCCTCGTCCTTTTCAAAAGGACTCTAGGAGGAAATGAGGTGATTCCAACTGCATGTAGTGGACATACTAACCATTTGTTCTTGGCTTTGCGGAGAACCAGTGGCACCATTTAAGATCCATTGCAAGTTTTGCTCTCCCATGACAATGCTGGACTGCAGAATAGCAGTGCTCTGAGAAGGAGTAATTGTTATAGTTGGATTACTGGTCAGAACAGAGTTCGCACCAACAGGCACAGTCTGAACGACAGCTGGCAGGGGCTCAGTGGCACTTGATGGTGTTGGGGCAGATGCCCCAGCAACCACTGAAAGTCCTTGCACGAGGGGCTGTGGTGGGGTCTGAGTATGCTGCAGGAAGTCTTGGTGACTGGCTGCAAACTGTGTGCTGTGAGGAACAGGCACTTCTGGGGATTGTAAAACAGTTGCAGGATTTCCAAATGCAGCTTGCTGTGAGCTGGTTCCTATGGAGGAGGGAGCAGCAGGGGCTGCTGAGGCTTGTAGTGCTGAATGGGAAGGCTCAGAGATGCCAAGCTGCAGTACAAGTGGAAGAGACAATGACGCCGAGTCTCCTGCAGAAGGCGGAACAGCAGTGACAGAGTCTGCATCGCCATTGAAACCATCAATCAAGGCAGCTGCCAAAAGAAACATGAAAAAAAAACAGAAATACATCACTTCCCATAAGATCTGATTTTTCAATGAACTTTGCAGAAATCCCTCAGCTAGTTGCTAAGTCAGGCATTATCACTTCCCATCTTCAGACAAGTGCTCAAAACCGTATATTCACTAGGCAGTGAAATCAAAAAAGTAGGTCCAAATTTAGGAAGCCAGTAACACTCACTACTACACACAAGCTGATCGGCCTCATTAGCTCCAGGAAGCCTTTGTATCAGCCAGTTTGTGCAGCTACACCAAGTGAGGGAGCTTGAAAAAGCACTTATGTGGAAAGCCCCAGAGCATCAGTGTCAGCATTGTATGACAGCATGCTGTAAATGCTCTGTCAGTTCCTCCATCACCATCCCAGCAATACACCCTCTATGAATACATTTCAATACCGAAGTTAAAAGTTCTGTTTGCTACTTAAGAGTTATGTGGGGCAGCAATCTTCAATCTGAAATGCTGAATTAGGTACAGAGGAGGAAAACTGTTGAAAAGCTCTGTCAAAACACACAGATACAATCTGTACCTGTCTGCTGAGAGTCATCCTGATTTGCGGTGTGATCTGGGCTCTGAAACATCGACTCAAAGATGCTTGCTGGTGAGATTGTGCTAAGGTCTTGTCCATGTGTCTGGCAAACAGAAAATACAGAGGAAGGCATCAGATAACGTTCCATCTCAGGTCTCCATAAACTCTGCACAAATCCCAGTCAAGTTGTGCAGGAATGTCAGAAACACCTCTCCAAATAATCAGCCACCTCCAGAAAAAGCAACATATTTCACTTCCCTAGTGTAAAACACCACTGAGCTTTTACTACCTACAATCAAATTTACCAACCTAATGAGCAAATCCTCACAAAAGTCATTCAGAAGGAAAATACATCCTTCTGCATCCACACTTTGTTTAGCCCTTATTTCTGTCAGAAACAGACATTGATCTGTTCTTGGCTATTCTTTGAAACCTTTTCTGGAGCAGAAATAAAATGGCTCTGCTTAGATTAGATCTTAGACTATGCACTGCCTGTCACCCACAGTGCTCTAGGATATATCAAAGTACTGCATGCTGCTTCCACATCAAAACACACCAGAATGACCCTGTCTCCTCAGTATTCAATGTCACTATGTCACATTTAAGCTCAGTCAAGAGTTATCAATAAGCAAGAACACTGTTATTGTAAAATCAGATGCAGAACCTTTAAAAACCTGCTTGAATTAAGCACTGCAGTACTTGGGAGGAAAATCTCTCTCTTTCACTCAACTATGCTGAAATATTGGGGGTTTTGTTCCAACATTCCCAAAAGAACAGCAGTAATATGTCTGTCAATTTACAGGCTCAATAGGGTGTGTAAAAACCACATTTTTGTCAAGATTGAGCCTCCTGCAAACTGCCATGAGCCACAGGAAATAAAGCAGCAGCATTCAGTTCATCTAAACCAATCCTATCCAAAGTCACTTATGCTGTGGAAGAACTCATCTCCTCCATCTGCAGTAGTGAAATGAAAGCCTGAAGCAGAGCCTGCTGGAGGCCCAAACAAGCGAAACAGAATCCACCAGCCACACATATCTACTCTGCTGAGTTCTAGTTGACAGGACAAGCACCCTGCCAGAGAAACATCAAACTCAAATGATGGGTGAGGCAATTCCAGGGCAGTAACTCACTGGATTAGAGTTTTCCCGCAATTCTGAATCTGTCGATATGAGGCTTAAGTCACTGAGACAAAGCGAGTGGCTTGTATCCTGTAAAGAAGAAAAAGAAATGAAGTTACATATTTAGAAATAGCACCAGAAATGTTGTTCATTACTTGCTAGACATACAGCTCTGCTTAGGCAGATTTTTTACCCATATGTGATCCAAATCTCAGTTCTAAACTCAAAGAAGCAGTATTACTAAGGAAAGGAGATTCAGCAGCTATCAAGGATTCTTAACATCTTTTTCACATTGCTTCCAACAATTTAAATAAAAAATCTTATAGAAAATAAAAAGTTTACCACTTAACAGTTAGTATTTATTTCACTTCACATACTTCTACAAGGAAAGCATGATAACACATCTAACTGTCTATAAACTCATGTCAGCATTTGATATATTCAAAGCAGGAGCAGCCCAAGCCTTAACTTTAAAGTGATTAAAATGAACAGACCAATTTAAATGAGCTTTTCTAAATAAAACCTGCTCACCAAATACCATGCAAGAAGTTTGGGAAATACTGATCCCTCTGTTTATTCTCAACACGCTGTCAACACGCGTATGAGAATAAACCCTACACTGCCACCCTGAATGCCAGCAAGTGCAGGACTTAACCTGAGTTCTCAGTTCAAAACAGAGGCACCCATGGGAGACAGGGCACCAAGTACTCACAATTCTCTTTGCAAATCCCAGTCATAAACATTATACCTTCAGACCAAAGAATTTATTCCTCCCAGTTATGTTTTTATCTCCCAACACAGAAGCATTAATAAGAAATGCTACTAACCTCAGATACATTGTTATTTGGAAGTGCATTATAGGAATGTCCTTTCTCATGACCTTTCATGTGACTCTTGAGACTATACTGTGTACTAAAAGTCTTCTCACAGCCATTACTGGGACAGAAGAAGGGTTTCTCCCCTGTAGGCAGGGCAAAACACATGTAACAGACTTATAAACATCATATCAGACACGTACTTTTCAAGCACCTAGGAGAGTAGTAATATTTCATACAAACAAGGTTATTTAATGCCACATGATGCATTCAGCATTCTTTGGAGTCTCGCAGATAAAAGTTTCCATTTTACCATGTGAATTGACACATTTCATTTTGACGCATCATTAGTGATACGTTTGTGAAACACGTGAATGAAATTCAAGACCTGTCAAGCATACATGGAAATGCATAAATGGAATATTGGGAACTGCCCTGACCTGGGTGCAGGAGTTTGCACCTGGCCTTGTTAAACTTCATAAAGTTCACATGGGTGCACTCCTGCAGCCTGCAAAGGTCCCTCCAGATGGCAGCCCTTCCCTCAAGCGTATCAACTGCACCACTTAGTGTGGTGTCACCCACATAGTATATACAAGTATAAACACATATTAGGATTCTGAGAGTTAATATAAACTGATTAAGTTCAACTCGAGAAGAAACAAAACCTTGGGACTTACCAGTATGTGTCCTAACATGTGTTTTAAGGTGGTGGCTTGCAGCAAAAGCCTTTCCACAGCCGTCATGCTCACACCTGAAAGAGGCGTCAGAGAAAAGATAGCATCAGGCTTACCTGATAAGTTAGTTACCACCTTAGATCATGCTTTGCAATAGTCCCAGGACTCAGAAAAGCAGGCCTAAGCTAATCTGGTTTAATAATCAGGCATCTTCCAGCAGCTCCTGTGCAGGCCACACAGACCACAGCAGGGCTTTGAATAGGACTGTAAAATCCAAGCATGAAATCAGCCTTTGAAGGGGGCCTCCTTCACGGAATAAACCCTGCATCACAGCAGAGCAGCAGCAGTATGTTTTAAGAACATGCTCGCTGTGGCACACATTCAGGTTTGAAAAATAGCTCTACTATTCTTGTCTTTGAAGACAGGCATTTCACCCACTTCTCCAGGCAGCTGAGGGAGCTCTAGAACAAACATGCTCAAATGCCAGCCGCCTTCAGCTCTTTTCTTCCAAGAACAGCTTCTCATTCAGGACAGCCAGAGCTGCCTCTTGGCACAGGCAGCCCATTACACAAGCCCCACAGAGGTCAAAATGGGCATTCAAGGACCTACCGAAATGGCTTTTCTCCTGTGTGTGTTCGAATGTGCTTCCTCAGGTCACTGTGCGTTGTGAAGTATTTACTGCAGCCTTCTGATTCACAGTTAAATGTCTTCCCTGTGTGAAGCCTCTGATGTGCTTTCAACCTAAAAAGGATGCAACCAAAAAACCTGGATTCTATGATTCAAGACTACTATAATATAAATAAGCCAAGTATGTCATCATAGATTCTGCCATCCTGCTCTTGGCATAGCATTTCCACGTTTTGGGAAGATTTATATGCATATCTGTACCTGGAAGAAGCATAACAATTTCAAGGCCAGGTTGGAATGGGGCTTGGAGCAACCTGGTCTAATGTGAGGTGTCTCTGCCCATAGCAGGGAGGGCTGGAACTGCTTGAACTCAAGGTCCTTTCCAACCCAACCCATTCTATGATTCTGTGATCCAGACCCAAACAAAAAGCGGATGCAATCTGCAGAACAACAACAGCCACGTCTACGAGGCAAATTAAGCAGAGACCTCCTACCTGTACAGTGTATTGAATGCCTTTTCACAGCCCTGCACATCACATTCAAACGGCTTCTCCTTAGTGTGCACTCGAACGTGGATTTTGAGGCTGTAGGAGGTAAGAAAGGCCTTGCCACAGCCTTCTTGATTGCAGACAAAAGTGTATTCCCCACGATGGGTCTTTTGGTGAGTGCGCAGGTTCCCAGCAGTGCTATAGGTGCGTGGACAGCCCTCAAAGGTGCACTGGTACCTCTTCACCTAAGAGACAAAATGCTGCTTGTTAACCATTCTTCAGCATTTCTGGAATCCAGACAGGGCAGGTCTGCAGTTAAACATCAAAGACAACAGAAGAGATTTTGACCCCAAAGGAAAAAGAACATTTAATGATCAGATAACTCAGTATTTCTGCTTCACCACCTGAGGAAGGGGTGGCACACGTTGGAAAGCAGGCTGACCTTATACAATAATCATCTAATAGAAGGGGGGGGAAGGAAAAATGTGATTTGAAATGTTTCTAGCTAAAAATCTGCTAAAACAGTAGGAAAGGATTCTAAGAGGCTATTAAACCTACCCACTACTCCCATAGAGTGCCTGCCTTTCACCCAGGTGCTTCCAGCACAGCTACTTACTTGTGGAGGAAGAAGACAAGGGAAAATGTACATTCACAACCTGACCCTCAAAAGCACAGCCCTGTGTGCTGAACTTCCATTAACACCTTGAATGAGAGCTACGGTTTTCACCATCTCCTATGGCCTCCCCATCAGTCCATTTACTACTTCATTTTATATCAAAAGCAGCCTCCACTGTGCTTTATTGCTCTCTCCTGTGGTTACTGAAACAGGCAATGTCTGAAGTGTAGTGAATCCATTGGGATTTTTCAGCCAGCTATCTGGATTACTGGGAAGCAATTTTACCCTGAACTTGATTTCATAGCCTTCCAGCTACTGCAACAGGCAGAGAGACCACGCAGAAGCTTCCAGTGTGCCAGTCCTAACACTTAATTAAATCTCATTCTCTCCTGTGAAGTAAAAGGAATAAGCCATCTGATATGCTTGAATAAAATTAGCTTGAATGTTAATTATCAGCCTTTCATTTGACTGCTACAGTTGAGAAACTTTAACATCTAAAAGTGATTACAGAGCCCAAGAGAGGACTTGGCAACTCCTACTGGGTATAATTTGGGTTCTAGGCAGCTCTCCATAAGGGAAGGGAAATAAATAGTCTCTCGGTTACTTCCAACCTGTTCTGTAGGGGACAAAATTACCAGTAGGACCCCTTTAAGAATGCTTTATAAAATCTGAGTATATAGGAGTTGAGTAATCTCTGCTATAATCTCTTGTTGATACCGTGACAAACAGCACCATGAGAAGCACCACACAGAGAAGGAAACAGTGATTCCACTATAAAGCAACTTACCCTTGGTTTATACCTCAAATGAGGTAAAAGTTATCACTAAATACCCCAACGTTACAGTACAGTTACAACATCATTTCAAGGTTCGGTTGTGTTGAGTCAGCCAAAACCCAAGAGCAGAGACCAATAAGAGACAGCCGCAAGGTCAGAAAGTACATTTTATTACAGGAGAAGAGGTACACTGCCTTCACCAGCGATCACCCGAGCACTCCAATTCACCTATCAGGGCTGAAGTCAACTTCCCTGTTCCAGTTTTAAGGCAGCTGGAAATTAACACTTTCCCTGCTGCACTATGGGATGCTCTCCACTGTACTCCCCATAACACACAAGGGATCTGAACTACCTAAAAATCAAGTGAGGAGGCTGTGAAGCTTTCTCGATGTTTCTATTTAGGTCTAGAAAGTGAATTAAAAGGAGAGAACTAATTCTAGATGAAGGATTTGGTTCCTCGATGCTAATGCACATCTTTAAAGGAAGATGGCAGTACCACTTTCAGTTTCAGGGCCTGAAATAGGCCAGAGGCCTTGCAGCCCTTCCCCTTTAGTCAAAGGCCAAGTCTGTTATTTCCTAAGTCATTTTGAAAATGATACTGCAGACAGAAGCAGTGCTACCACGACATTTGAGGCAAAATTAAAGCAGTAAAGCATTTAATTCTCTTTTCCCATTAGGAACATTAGCACATCAGACAAGCACTGATCATACACATAAATTATGTAGCTATTGACCACAAAAGCCTCACGGTTACAGCAGCAAATACTCAAGAGTAGCCCTGTACGCTTGCAGCAACAAAAGAGGCACATGGCAGCACAGGAGAAGCCACAGATGGGTATGAGGAGTACAGAAACAAGCTGCTTTGAAGACAAAGGACAATGTGCTATCTCTCCCAGGAAGATGCACCAGGGGGAAGCTGGGAAAGCTGTGATTAAGCATTAACTTAGAAGTAGGAACTAATTGTCCAGTAATCAAAAGAGTGGCAAAAGCAAAACCTGTCACACTGTGCCAAAGTCTACTTCAAGTGCTCAGTTTGCCCTTAACTCATCCTGAGCTGAGGAGATTCCCCTTCAATTGCTCCTTTTTTTTCTATGTTATCATTGAACAAAAGAATGCACTTGAAATACAAGACTCTGATCACGTTCATTCTCACCCACAGAATTACAGTGAGGGAAGCAGAACATAACAAGAGGAAGTTGAAGATAATATACTCAGTGTAAAACTATCTTTTGCTTCATAAATGTCTAACACTGCCCCAAAACCTGCAGGCTTTAGAAGAGTTCTCTCAAGTGTTAGAACCATGACAGATGCTTTCAAAGTACCAAAGAATTTGATTTTTAAAGATGAGCCAAACATCTGAGGGCTTTGGAATGTTTCCTTCCCCATCTCCAGACAACTCACCAAGCATCTGGAAGAGCAGGACCAAAGAGGGGTTTAAAGATGGAGGAGTGTCACCTATGCTTATTTCCACTGCACTCAAATAACACCCCCTCCACTCCAGAAAATGAATTCAAGACATGGAAAATAAATTCATTTCATTAGGAAATTCCAGGTCCTACAAGCTCCCTTTTTTAATAATAGGGGAGGTGATGGAATAAAATCAGTTTAATTACACGTGCAGTCACCAATGCTGGTTGAGCCAGTACACACTGTTCTCAGACACTACTGATTACAAGCTTATTATCCTACAAAAAGAAAAGTACTGACGTGACTAACATACAAAAAACAAGTATTTCAGCAGCTCAGAACACAGGATACAGCAGCTGCTGATCTGAACAACCAAGCAGAGCTCCTTACACTGACATGGGCTTACTGGACAAACCTCAGTCCAGAAGCTCCATGATTACAGAACCAGCCTCCTCCAGCCCCATTTCCTCCTTGCCAAGAGAGTGCTAATGAAAGTTCCCTGCTAACCTGAATTATTCAGCGTTCAAACCCAGCTTCCTTTCTCAGCAAGGGTCTCATTTCTGCCATCCTCTCTTACACTCAGTATCAGTTACACAAGTAGTTGATACTTCCACCACTGACACCAGCAGGGACATTTGTACAGATCATCCTTTATTCAACTAGCAAGGGCCAAAAAGGGAGCACGAAGTCATTGCTGTGTTGGTATTTCAATCATCTTCACACTGCTTTTGCACCTAGAAAGTGAGAACGCCAAGTACACGCCCTCAGCACTTTGAATGCAGGTAGGATCCATTAGGGAACCAGAACTGAAAGTAACTGCCATTTTATAAGTCCAAGCTGCCTTAAGAGTTCAAACAAGAGCAGATGCTGCTTTAAAGCTTCCCTTATTTTCCTTAGTTTATTTTCACAGTTGGAACTACCACCACCAGTCTGGAAGTGCAGCCAAGGCCTCGAGAACGTGGTTAACCAAGAAAAAACACGAGTTTGGGTATCTGTGAGGATGGGAAATAATCACCCAACCAAAAGAATAATAAATGCCCACTGCAGTTCCACACACCACTAACACAACCGTGGTTTCAATACCATGCTCTCCTGATGTCTATCATGTCACCACACGTCTGAAAGCGCTTCCTGACTGCTTCACAAGCAAGCAGCAGGATATCTGAGTGAAAACTGATGACACTCGCAGCTTTTTTCACTCTGGGCAGCAGCTCTGCCTATCAGCACAAAGCATGACTATCACTAAGTATACCAGTGGATCTAATGGAGTGTAATTCATTCCACTCCGCAGTAACCTTTAAGAACAAGGGAACCTTCTGACTGCCTCCCAGCAAACAGCTTTAGAAAAGCCTCACATTCTCAAAGCACTTAAGGCCACCAGGTAAAAAGCACTACAATACATATCACATTCAGAATCATATTTAGCTACTTACTTCTTTAAGCTTGGTTTCAGGGCATTCAGACTGCAAAGTGAGTGTTGCTCCTTCGATATTTCTTGGCATAGGAGTTGAACCAGGATTTATTGTCAGGTGAATCTGATCTGGAGAAATAATGTGTTGCACATAACCCTGGGACATTCCTTCATGATCTGCTATTAAATGAAATCCTTCTTCATGACCCTCTGGTAAAAAAGGCAAGTGATCACCACACTGTCCTTCATCCTCGTCATCTTCCAGCACGCCGTGGTCCTGCTCTATCAGAACAGTCGTCCTGTCATAGACCGTCCCAGACGACGAAGAAACCAGCCCGTTTTTATCAGCAAACCTCATCATATTGTCATCTTGGGTTAAATCGTCTTCCTCCACTTCGTAGTAGATAACGTTGCCTTCGGGACTGTTCTCCCCCATGGCTCACCGCCTCTCAGTGCGATATCGTGCACTTACACCGTAGCGACTCATCTGCAACACAAGGACGGGCGGAGGGGGGGGGAGTCAGGCGGCTCTGCCCCGGCCGGGCCCCATCTCCTCTCGCAGCCCCAGCGCCCGGGCAAAGGCCCCGCGGCCCCGGCCGCACACCCAACCTCAGGGCGGGCGGTGCTGGAAGAGCCGGGCCCTGCTCCACGGCCCCCGCCCGCGGGCTGGGGAAGGTGTCCCCTGCCGGACCGCGGCGCTCCCCCCGCCCGGCCCGGGCCCGCACTGCCCCGCCGAGAGCCGCCAGCGGGGCCTGCACGGGCCCGTGTCCCGTCCTCCCCCCCGGCTGCAGCCGGCCCCGCCGCGCTCACCGGGCTGCGGGCAGCGGCGGCACCTCCTTCCCCGCCCCGGCGGCACCATGATCACCAGCGCACTCACTTCCGCTTCCGGCCGCGCGCCGCCCGACGGGAGTGCCGCGCCCACCGCGGGGGCTGGCGGGAAGAGGGGGGAGGCCCTGAGGTGGCGGCTGGGGGGCGGGAGGTAGTGGTAATCCTGATCGATAGCAGGAGCGTTAAACGAGATCGATAACGCTGTTAAAGTGATCGATAGCGCTAGGATACAGTCACCCCATGGGAAAAGAGCACAGGGGAAAAGGAGTCGCTGGGGAAGGTGCAGCAGAACCTGCAGGGCTGCTCAGGGGTCTGGAGTGGCTCTCATAAGGAGGGGCTGTGTAGTCCAGAGAAGAGCAGCCTGAGGGGGGATCCCGTCAATGCACATAAATCAGAATCAGCCACGTTGGAAAAACCCTTTAAGCTCACCCAGTCCAACCCTTACCCCAGCACTGCCAAGACCACCACTGCCCCATGGCACCGAGGCCTCGTCTCCACAGGGTGTGAACACTTGCAGGGACGGTGCCTGCAGCCCTGCCCTGGGCAGCCTGTTCCAATGCCTTAGCACCCTCTGGGGCAGGAATTGTTCCTCAGCTCCATCTAAACCTGCCCTGGTGCAGCTTGAGGCCGGTTCCTCTTGTCCCATCCCTTGTTCCTTGGGAGCAGCGCCCAGCCCCTCCTGGCTCCATCCTCCTGTCAGGCAGTTGTAGGGAGCCATCAGGTCCCCCCTGAGCCTTCTCCAGACTGAACCCCCCAGGTCCCTCAGCCCTTCCCCATCACACTTGTGCTCCAGGCCCTGCACCAGCTCTGTTGCCCTTCTCTGGCCCTGCTCCAGCCCCTCAATGTCTCTCTTGCAGTGAGGGGCCCTGAGCTGAGCACAGGATTTTCAAGGTGCAGCCTCACCAGTGCCCAGTGCAGGGGCACAATCCCTGCCCTGGCCCTGCTGCCAAACTGGTGCTGATGCAGCCCAGGATGCTGGGGGCTGCCTGGGCACAAGCTGCTCCTGCTCAGCTCCATCAATCAGCACCCCCAGGGCCTTTTCACTGAGCAGCTTAACTCGAAGGTGGGTGCCAGGAGGACGGAGCCAGACTCTTTCCAGTGGTGCCCAGTGACAGGACGAGGAGCAATGGCTGTAAACTAAAACACTGGAAGTTTCACCTCAACATGAGGAAGAACTTCTTTCCATTGAGGGTGGCAGAGCACTAAACCAGCCAACATCCAGAACAGGCAGATCAGCCGATAAAAGGCACTGAGATCTCTTTATTTAAATAACACAGACTTAAAAGTCTGAGTTTTAATACAACATAAATAAAATACAGTGTTAAGTATCAGCTTTTATATTTCTGCTTGTCTACGTACAGCTTATTTAGAAATCTTACATACTTTACACCTTAAACAGTGACAGCTGATTCAGACTCTCTGCTCTGTGCCTTCAAAAGCCATAGATTGTATAAAATACTGTGATATGTATATAAAAAAAAAGCAGGTATACTGTACAAACCCAATATTTTTACAGTCACTTGATATCTAAAAATAAGATTAGCCGCATCTGAGATTCACGGTAGATTGTCTTCTCTCAAGAGGAACTGATGGATAAATTGCTGAGCTTTACTCTTTTCAGTCATATCAGGTGGAGGGTGTCCAGGAGGAGGTCGAAGTAACAAGCCACCAAATATACTGGCTGTATTCATAACAGAAAAGAGAAATCAGTAAAGCAGACAGGAAGAGCTGCTCAGCAGCAGGGCAGCAAGGGTAATTCCCCCAAACCCAGTCAGTCAGAGACAGCACCTGCCTTCAGAATGGGGTAAGATAAGGCTGGTGAGCCACACACCTCGCCTAGGCTGCTGCAGTGAACTGGTTTTCTATGGACTGCTCATTGTTAAATGCTTCAGAGCACTGAGGCCACACCTGTGCTCACATTTGTTACACCACTGCCACCCCGCTCTGAACAGAAGGGGTATTCTGCTCTCCTTACCAAGAATATTCACATCCAAATGGTTTTTCCCTGAATTTTTCAGTAGTTCTCGTAGAAATGCCATGAGATAGTCAAACACATTCTTATGGCACGCTGGCAGGTTAGAGATAATCTGAGGAGGGGAGAAAAAACAGCGTTTACACTGAAGACACAGCAATGGCTTAGCAGAATCTATTACCAACACCACCCTGTCTGCCCTTCATAACCAAAAAGCACCATTCCTGAGAGCAAAAACTAGTCTGGGCATAACCCACTTTGCCTGCCCTCCCTCTGGAACTAGAGAACAGTGAAGCCAGCAATACCTGGCAGCTCTGAGGGTAGTTGTTGGCACTCTCCAAACAGCTGCTGTAGAACCTGGAGCAGATGACCGGCTCAGGCAGGCTTTCCAGGAAGAGCAGCAGGGCTTCTGCTACCGAGTGGTTGCTGCCAACTGATCCAAAGAGGGTTAAGGAAGAGGTAAGTACAATGTGATCTGGTTTGGTCACATTTCTGCTGAAACATTAATCTTTGCTTAAGTCTCCAAAAACCTCTCCTATTGTTCACAGCCTTGAGTTACATCACTTCACATAGCAAGCTGTTTCCTTTGGCAGTTGGGCTCTTACATGATTCATCGACACTGCCAGGAATTAGTGGAGGCATTAGTACAGACAACAAGGAGTAGCAGGAACTGCAGAGCTCACTTACCCCAAGACAAGACACAATGATTTAAAAACCATAGTGAAGCACAGCAGATTGATCAAATCCTTTCCAGCTTTGATGACTGAGGTGTAGTGAGCTTTACCAGACATCAGGCTGAAAGGATACAGAGGGTATCGTGCATTCCTTTGTCCAAACAATCTCGGATTTGCTCAAATTCAGATCTGAGGCCTGGTTGCTGAAAGAGATCCTCCTGCAAAGACCAGCAGTCGTTCTCAAGTGAAATAAAAGTTATTTGGATAAATAGAGCAATGTTGTTGTAAGCTGGCTGGAAAAATCTCTCTAAATTGTTAGGTATCAGCACAAATCTCACCCTGAGGAGCTCTAGCAGGGCTGCTGTGCAGTAGCAAGTAATGCAGGAGGGAGGCTGCTGATGCAAGCCACACACAAACATGGTCACTGGCCTGAAATGGTGCAACCCAGAGCACCAGGACCACTTATCTCAATGTCCTTTATCTCTCTCTACCATTGGCCACAGTTCACAATGACTGCTATTACCAGTATCTTCTTCAAAACGAAACCAAATGCAAACCAGTTATTTTGAGTTTACAGTACAAACACTGCCCACCTGCTGGGAAGCATTACGGTACAAGTGATCCACCATCATCCACAGCTCTTTTGGGATGTCCATTGGCTTTTCAGCTGGAACAGCATCATCACTCATTTCTAGTGGCATCACGGTCTGAGGGAAGGAGGTGTGGGGAGAGGGGGGGGAAAGAAAGGGAGAAAAAAGGCAGCTAGCTAAGTTCTTGCTAATACTTGAGAGTTAAGACTTGCTGAGGAACTGCAGCTTCACTCACAACTTCATGCAAGACTAGTACAACAGGCACATTTGTAGCTGAAGTCCAGACAGAAGAAACAAGCTGCTCTCATAAACATGCTTCATGTGCACTTAGCTCTATAGAAGCATTACATCATGCCTCATGTCTACACACACATCTCCATTCCATGCGGAGAAAGACGAAGGCTTGGGGAAAAGATCCACATTTAGAAGTTGCACACCTTTTTTAAACATGCAGGCAGAGCAAATGGATCTTACTTCCAGTGCTCTCTATATGAAATGGGTTGGTTCCTCCACGTGAAGAACTAGGGCAGGGTGTGCAGACGGTGCACTGGAGAGCACAAGCTGTATCAGCATTCTCAGACTATGGACCAGGGAAGTGGAAGAAGGCTCTTTAAGGATAAAGACTTAACATCTAGTTTAATGGTTCTTGCGGGTTCAGAAGAGAATCTTGTCTGAAACTCACAAGTCTCCAAATGGATTCTGCTGACATATCCTGGATCGGTTCCCTCATGTGACACAGCGTATGAATGGGAGACCCAAAGCAACTTGGCAAGTAGTTGCCTGTTACAGATAGAAAATAATCCTTCCCCCTGTTCAGGTGCAAGACCAAGATATCTTCAAGTTTTTCCTCTCCAGAGTTTAACTGTGTCGCTGTAGATTTATTAACAAACACCTCCAGCTCAATTGTGATCTCAGCATCTGCCAGAAGACAAAAAACCCCAACATATTTCATTAAAAAAAGGTATTAAACCAATAAACCTGCAAACAGGCAGAAGAGTCTAAAACAGCAGAGAGAACTAAGACACAGATGACAACAGTAGCTCATTGACAAGAGATGAACAATGGGGAGCTCACCTGAGAGCAGAAAGCCCTTACTGGGGTTAGCAATGAGCCACTCCTTACAGTAGCTTTCCTCATCTGGTTTGCTGATAAATTCGAACTGGCAGGGCACTTGTCCATTGCGGATTGTAAACCTCTCCACCTGCAGCTGCATGTATTTCACATCCTCAAAATGGAACTAGAAACAAATACCAGTCACCATTATCAGCCAAGTCCACCTTGCCAAGCAGCAGCAGCAATTCCTGTCCTGTGGTTTAATCATTAAGCAGCAAAATACTCAGATTAACCCCCTTGCTCCTGCATCCCATCTCTTCCAGGACTACACAGGATTACATTTGCTTACTCTGTATGTTAAGTCAGCTGTATCAACGGGCCCTTTAAAACAAACGTTCCCCTCAAATAACCTCAATGAAACAAGATAACTGAAGCCCCAAATGTCTCATCTGCTTATCTTTTGTAGGCCCCAAAACAAAGCAAATGCCAGGTTTGTGACCTTCTCCAAATCCCCCAGAATTTACATTTTATGTTTCAAAGAACAAGTCAGAGCAAGGGCCACAAACTGTTCTTTTACTCTCACCCCACCTCAGGGCACAGCACAGCTTATGTTTCAGTCTGGTACTGTGGATGGAATTTACCTGCATCTAAACAGAAACTACTATTTCTAGGGCTTGTAAACAGATACCAGTTGGAAGACAAACTGTTATTGCTCTTTAGAACCAGACCCCATGGTCTAGAATCCATCTTCTACCAATGGAATATGGGGTCTAGGGAGTCACAGCACAGGAACATATCCTACCTCTCTCCGTGAAAGGGTCACC